TTAGCTGGACGAGGTACCGCATGTACAAGGAAGAAAGCTTCAGCTGCAGGTTGCAGCGCGAGTACAGCGTGATGATCGGAAGCCTTTCCAAGACGAAGAAGACAAGTTGATACGGATTCCCAAAGTGCTGTAAAAGCAGACTTAGATCGATAGGTTTCATACTAAAATTGTAACGAGGATTGTGGCAATTTTTTTCCAATAACATCACTACAAATAAAAACGTTTGATTATATCAGGCGCAGCAGTTCGAAGAGACAATTGACTGCCAGCAAATAACTTATAACATTGATTCTATGACTTCGGCTATTGCACTACAGATACTGAAGAAAAATCAATAGAAACTTACCGTCTAATCGTGTAAGCCGGTGGCTTAGCACAACATCTTCATTGTTCTCTTCAACAACTTTTTTCGTCTGATCTTGCTCGGTCGCTTTCGATGTTTCAGGTGAAACGGGCACTGCGCGCCCTTCAGCAGATGAAGACGTAAGCGTGGGTGCAGTCGAATTCTCATCAACAGCCACTGGATCGATTGCTTTTTGATCGCTGTTCGAATTCGCTGCTGTATCTGACGCCTTAGATTCGTCTTCAGTCTAAAAACCAAATTTTTTTTCAGATGTGGACGTTTGGAAAGCTCAAACAATACGCACTTTCTTCTTTTCCTGCTCTTCTTTCTTACGACGTTCTTCTTTCATCTGCCTCATTGTATCGCGAATCTTGGACAACGTTTGCAGAGCACTGAGTAATTTATATTGAGCACCAGACTTATCGGTGAGCATAGTGACAGCAGGCAACTGTAGTTCAGGACAAGAACTTGCGCTCAATGTCTGGAAATAATCAACATTCGGACCGAGATCTGCAAACTATTTCTAAACTCACAAATCGTGAGCTATTCTCCGCATCAAGTACAAGGCGACCAATGCGTGTTCTAGTCAATCGACGATCTCGGTCTGTTCCCGCAGCAGTGGTAGAATTCGTTTGTGAGCCTTCCTTCTCGGCACTGGGTGATGAGGATCCCTTACTAGTTGAAGGTACTTCATCAGAAACGGGTGGCAAAGTTTCTGGCTCTCCGAGTTCCTCGATCAATCGCTCAATCTGTGATGTTTTGATATCTTTAGGAGAGAAAAGATCACTGTAATAAAAGAAAACCTGTGGTTGTAGCTCTAAGCCGACATTTTCAACAGCTGTAAAAAGTTGCTCGTAGATAGTGTCGGTGATAGACGGAGGCAGAGCACGCATACATTCCACAAGCAATGTACTAAATTTAACAACTCAAGGTACAAAAAATAAAAAGAACGGGGGACAAGGCTGCAGTGAAAAGAAATCCGATGTTGATGTCAACTTATCAATAAAAATGTGGATATGAGAAAGAACCACAAACCGTCCATCAGCCAAGCCCTCGTTGCTGCAAGATCCACGCATAAGGACATCGATAACAGCTTTCAGTTGGCTTTCGAGAGGATGTGGTCCCTCCAAGTTGCCCAAAAGCGTCATCGTATCGTTTGGAAGAGTTTGAACTATCTAAAAAGACAAAGCCTGCTGGTGCACGAGTATAATGTGGGATATCTGAGATTTTCAAAAAAGCGAGGATCTCATTGATTTCACTCTTCCACATCTCAGAGGCGGTCAAAAACAACCGGGCTAAAGGAGATAAAGTGCAAGAAAGGTGATTACTTCAAAGAAGTTTGCTAGATATTAGATGACTGGCAGATTAACGGCAGGAAAGATGTCCAATATTCAAGGATTATACGGGCGTACCGTGCTGATAACCCGCAAGAGGCGGTCTTGGATTGTTCCTGTTTTTGCGACCACTGGTTTGCTTAGATGTCGCATAAGGCGGCCAACATGGGATGTTTCCAACGACATGCGCTCGCCGCTTTCCCTAGCTTCTTTAGCAGTGAGTGACTTGCATGATGATGCCTAAAATGAAAGTATTTGGGCAAAGTAAATCGAATTCCGAACAATCTACACACCTGAACTAATTCCCAGAAAAGATCCATAGGAGGGCTTGCATCTTTCACATTCGAAGTATCAGTAACTCCATCTTTGACTACTGTATGTTGCATCTTTCGAAGACTAGATGGGAGGAAATGACCAGGGTAAGTTTTCGCAATAGTGGCCAGCGTGTCCAGGACGTTCTTAGAAAGCGGTAGAGCAAGTAGTGGATGAATGGCTACTGCAACAAGATGCATTCATGAGACATAATGGAGATAACGATGAGAAAAACTATGAAACACCGAACAAACCTTTAGAAACATGTTTCCCAATCTTCAATGCACGCTCATTATGACCTACGCCCGATACTGTGATAGAATCCAACCATGACGGGCATACGGACACAAGCTTGAAAATGAACACGAATAAAATGAATAAAAGCAAGTAAATTGAATGACAAGATATTTACCTCTTCATCATCGATTGCTCCATCGTGGGCTTTCTCTAGTAGTGCTAGCAGGCACCATATGACAAAATCACAGGAATTAGCATGAGAACACGCGAGGCGAATAACCTATAACAAGGAGGTTGCGATAATGTGCACGGAAATCACATCGGATATAAACCCTAGAGAGACGCTGAAAGTCGCTGAAAGCAAATCAGTCAAAATGATCTAACAAGGATACTAGCAGGAGTGGCGGAGATGATATGCATATCATTAGATGTGTCTTGATGGGCTGACTCCGAACTATACTTTGGAATATTCGAAATTTTTTTCGAATAAT